GTCAATCGTACCGTGTCGAATCGTACGGTGTGCTATTCTTGCGGTGTCCAATCGTACTGTGGTCAATCGTACCGTGTCTAATCGTACGTGTCCAATAGTACGTGTGCAATCGTACTGTGTCCAATTGTACCGTGGTCAAACGGAATACGCCTCTTTTGTTACACTCTGGCGTTTTTCTTGAAAAGCATACACTTTACACGATGTTTCCCCCACTTCCAAAAAGTGTAGTGTATTAAAAGTGTAAGGTGTACACTTTACACTTTTTGTGTATGCAAGTAAAACAAACCTATTGTAATTCCGTTGAGGAAGGTCGCACCGCGCCATCTCTAGAATCACATGTTATTGTATTTTGTATTGCGAATGATTTTGGAGATATTTGCCGATTATTCAGAGAGAGTTGTTTTGGGCTTGGGATTGGGACCGTTGCCGTTGACGAGATCGGTCGAAGACGTGAATATGCGAAGATTGAGTTTGAGTAATGTGCCGAGAGTAATATATTTGAATTTTATTGTAACATGTCGTAATTAATAAATTTATACAATATATATATATATATATATATATATTAATTATCAATTGAAACAAAGTGCCGAGTTTTATTTAATTGCCCTCAAGTGAACCGGTCAGTGCCGAAAAGTATTTTAACGCGCCTACACAAAGTAATGGCAACTGTTCCTACAACTGTGGTAAACATGAAAATAAGAACATGTACTACGTGTACATCGGTTACTCCTTCAATATTATCAAATGTTCGAGCGAGTATTTGTAAAAGACAAGTGCTTGGAAGTCCAAGGACATCATTTTGACCACTTAATAAAATGAAAATACTAACACACAATATATGTTTCGTTTTTTTCCTTCTTTTTGCTTTCCCAATGTTTCTCATTGCAACAAATGTTTCGCGATACCTCTACAACTATACACAATAAAAACAAATGGTTCAAGTAAATGTTATTTAGTTTGATCACAGCTATTAAAATAACAAAATGTTATTCAGTTTGATCACAGCTATTAAAATAACAAAAACTTAATACCACTTTCAATTTAAAAAAACTGTTCGACGGCCCTCTCTCCCTTCTAGCATTTGCTTCCAAAAAAATCTGTTACACACTAGAAGATTAGCCCCACTGAACCATTTAATTTAAAAAAAGTTTTGTGTTATCTTTATTAGATTCTGAGAAAACAGCTTGTAACACTTTATTTGGGACACCCTTTAAAAAAAATTTGGTAATATCTTTATTAGATTCTGAGAAAACAGCTTGTTACACTTTATTTGATACACCCTATATATTGACTGGTATTTAGTCGGATTTTAAATTAAAAAAAAAAATTTGTCTCAAAAATTTAAATTGTCTTAATTTTACCTTCAGATGATGTACGAGTAGTTCTATTGGCTGCATAGCATCTAAAGATAAACTTAAGATGCTTTTAAATAAAGATTCGACTATAAAACCTATATTTAATCCAGCATATCCACTATAATATTCATGTTGGATGTACAACATGGATTATACATAGATTATATAATCTTTTTCTTTTGATCCATATTAACATTTACTAACATATTAACCGAGTAACTGAAAGGTGCGAAATTTATTCAAATTGTTTAACAGTGTGCTTTTCTTTCACATATTCTATATGTTTGACAGAATAACAGGGAAATTGAGCAAATAGTTTCACAACAATAAAATTATAAGTTAATATAATATGATGAAGTAGTTCCAATGTGGTTTTTCCAAAAAATTAATGATAATTATAATGGCGTTTATCTTAATGCTTTGGAGCCACGCCTTTGTTTTTGATTAGTAAGATTTCACCTTATCTCAGTCTCGATTATGTTGTCGTAGAATCGACACAGATACTGGAAGTTTGAGAGTCAATCCTTAGTACGTAGCCTCATATTATTTACTTGTTTAAATTGTTATCATTATTATTATCTCATAACTATAATGAATTTGTAACAGCACCCACTGAAGAAGGTTAAAAATATAACCGAAACGTTTAGGATATCATAAAGTCTAATTTTTATTGCAAAAGATTCTGCAAATTGTTCCAAAAACGCCATTATAATTATCATTAATTTTTTGAAAAATTATAAGTTTTTATCTATTTCTCTATTTTTTCTCTTAAACTTATACAATCTTCTATTCTATCTGCTCAAGCTTGGAAAAAATTCTTACTCTTCAAATATTTTTTTATCAACTTCCACATGGAATTAAAGTAGTTCTTGGCTGCTTGAAGAACAATAAAAATCTAATTTAATTAATGATTAATAATTACGATTATAATAATATAACGTATTTAAATGTAATTATTAATTACATTTAAATATATTTGTGTAGTTAATTGCTTTAGAAAAGTAATTAAATGAAGTAATTGCAATTAAATTATTTAAAATTGCAATAATTTACTTGCACGTTAGTTGCTTACCGTCTTGCTTAAGAAATAATGCAAAATTAATCGACTCTTTTTAAAACAAATTATGCAAGCAATTCTAACATAAATTTCTTGAAAAAAGAGTCAAGGTCATCTACATTTTCCTAGATAGTATGAACACTTCAAATAAAAATAAACACAACTTTATACGTTACATATATACATGATTTGTATAGTTTTCTTCTTTTTGTTTCACTTAATATCAGAAATAAGCGATACATTTACATTAAAAATAATAAATAATCACGTATATACTTTTATACTTGTACGGGCATTTTGTACATTCCCGGATTTCAACTAAAAATTTGGCATAAACTGAAAAGGAATTAACGATCACGAGTTGGAATGCTGAGACGGTGTAAGGCTACCGGTATGTTCAGGGCTATGCTTTTGCTTTTTCCTTTTCTTTTCCTTCTTTCGCTTTTTCCTAGCTTCCTTTTCTTCGTCGTGCCTCTTTTGTTTTTTATGTTTCTTTTCATGTGTATCGGAACCACCTATATCTGTAGTGGCAGCCTCTTGTCCACTAAGCACCTCACCAGGCTTATGTTTATGTTTTTTATGTTTATTCTTGTGTTTTCTTTGAGGAGCTTGATTTACATATCTATATTGTTCTGGCAACTGTAAAGTTAGATTATAAAATTAAACAATATGCATTTATTGTAGTATACACACACACGCGCGCGCACATGCAGGCACATACACACATATGTACTGATTTTTAAAACAAAGATATCTTACCGGGCCAGGATGTAATCGAAAACCTGCTAGCTGCACACTTGTTAAGGGCAATAATTCTTTACCACCTATTGGTGGTTTCTCAATCACTGATCTCAATGAACTAAATATTACAATATAAAAAAATAAGATTTGAAGTGTAAGCTTATATACTTATATGTTTAATGTCTGTTAAAAAAGTACAAATTACCTATTATCTAAATGTCCTGGCCTGTCTATGATACCTGGCAAATTTGGTAGAAAAGATGACAGTTGTTCTTTGAGCTTTTTACCACTAAATTTACTATATGAATGTTCCAAGCCATAATATGCCATCAAATTTGTTGCTCCAGTTAATTCACTTTCTCCTAAAAGAGATTTATTTAAATAAATAGTGTAATTGACTAAAGTTTAATATAATGATTTTGAAAGCTAAAGAGTTTTATTCATATTATGTATAAGACTTAAAATATACTTTAAGCTCTCTCTGTTTTCTAACCTAAATAATAGAAAATTATTTTTGAGACTACATTATTTATACAAAAAACAAATATAACTTGTACATGTAACATTAATTTTAAGATTTATATTTTTTTAATTTGAACTTCTCTATTACCTGGCGGTTCTTTCATTAAATAAAAAGGTCCACTATGGACAATAGAAGGATTCTTTCCAAGAGAAATAGTTGTTTTCAATGTTCCTGTGGAGTCTTGACGAGATACAACTGGAGAACGAGCACCTCTTGGTGAAGATTTTGGCGAATACTGTTCCACCTTACGAAACTGATCACCCATCATCATCCTGTCACTTTAGTTTATTGTAGATTCACCAGAAATAACGTAGAATGTCTCTGTATACAGGAGAAATGCAAAGAAATACCATAAAACTAACTGATAGATTATTCACCAGTGTCTAATAAGCGTTACGACCATTCTGCCTTAATTACAAAAAAATAGAACAATTTGCATTACTTTATAGATATGCACTGCTCACATCATGATATAAATTTATGGTCATTAACCAAGAAAAATGATTAAATTTCGACAATGCTCGCATTATTGCAAATTAGAAAGTACATTCTATTATATTATATTGTCAAAAAATTTGCAATTCTATAACGATCTTACGAAGCGCGCAAACCAAATACATTTCCTTCGATCTGTCACGTCTCAATTACGCTTGATTACGGTGTGATCACTTTGCTTTCTCTGGGAGCTTTTCAGCTACGTACACAGGCGACACTGTGCAACACAGTCCACTAGTGTGAGTGAGACACACTGATACGCTCTTTCTCACACTAATGGACATTGTGTTACACACACTGAATTATAATATGGAACGCGCCTTCCATTGTTCGAGCTGTCCGCGATAGAGAGCATCACAACTAGGATCTCTGTCTTTGTCTCGTCGTCACTGATTGGTTGAAATTTATACGAGTACAGTCCAAGACAAAAGAACAACGAAAAGTAAAGAATGGATGCGTTCAGACAACTCAACGGTTGAGAGATCATCACTTATGATAGGACTATTCTTCAAAATCTGCTGCGGTTCCAAAAGTACGATCCAATCAGAAGTGATTATCTCTCAACCGTTGTGCAACTGTTGAGTTGTTTGAACCCTATGTAGCTGCAGAGACAAGCCTGAGAGTGGTCAGGCCCATAAGAGTTTTTACGATCGCTATTCCGGCCCGTAAGCTAGCGCATGTCCATGAGTGGTGCACATTGGCAACTACGTAGCGATGTCCACGAGCGACTTGTCGATACGTACGCTATGTCCAAACGTGGACATGGTTCTATTCCGTGCTATGTGCACGATTCCAAGCGTCGAGAAAGATCAAGCAGCCGGCCAGCACCGAAGTGGTGGGGGAACGCACACAAGCGAAACCGCCGTCATCCGTGTGCGCTCGTGGAAGAATGCAGACATATTATGTTCCGTCTCCCTTTCACCAAGCCGAGTATAAGGCGAGACACAAAGCATGTTTAAGCCCCTTGCACAATGGAAGGAATAGCGATAGCGATAGAAATAACACAGTTTTTAACACAGAATTCCAACTCGTCG